CGACCTCCGGAGGTCGGATTTCAACATTTACAAAAATAAAAATACCGACCTCCGAAGGTCGAAATTTCAACATTTACAAAAATATATATACCGACCTCTGGAGGTCGGAATTTCAACATTTACAAAAATAAAAATACCGACCTCCGAAGGTCGGAATTTTCAACATTTTACAAAAATAAAATACCAACCTCCGGAGGTCGGAATTTTCAACATTACAAAAATAAATTACCGACCTCTGGAGGTCAGATTTTAAAATCAGAATAAAATCCGACTCGGATGTCGGTATTCCAATTCTGACCTCAGGAAGTCGGAAATAATAATCTATGAATTTTCCGACATAAAATAAAAACTGACCTCGAGAGGTCAGTAAATACCGACCTCCAGAGGTTGGTATTGAATAGCGACCAAGCTTTTTCCGACCTAAGTTGGGATGTCGGTTTTAGGTCGGTATTTCAAGGAATACCGACCTCCGGAGGTCGATATTCACTGTTTTTTTAGTAGTGGTGTGATATGGCGAATGGAACCCCGAGAGGCCATAATATAAACAAGCCATTTGACATAAGCATGACGTACTAGAAATACAACAAGAGAGAATATACAATAAAAGTTTCATATCATATAAGGAACCTGAACATAAGTGCGAAAACCTAAATTGTGTCTAACATAGCCTTTCTAACTTCATAAGAGTGGTTGAGTCGTAACTCATACACCACGTACATGTTTAAAATGAAAAAAACTAGTATAAGAAATAAAACATCGATGGTCTTGTCCTCAAAGCATGAGGACTCATCAATCCAATGTACTAGCAAAACAATCCAGGCTAAGCACGAACGGGGGGAGATAATATAGGCACAAATATGCATTAGTACGGTGAATGTACTAAGTATAGAGAAATGCATAAAAATGTAAAGCATGATGAGCTTAAACATAGTATGCAAGACCAAGTAAAACATAGTAAGAACCTTTAAAGAGAAATCATAAATCATATGCGAGGTCAATGCATACTTAAAAACTTTTAAGAAGTTTTCATAAATCCTTTGAAGAAAACAAAGTTCATTTGTGGGATATTTACCGTTAACCGACAATAAGACCATGTGAGCTATAGCATGGAATCCGGTATGACGCTCGCACCAAAAAGAGGAATCTACTTTTCAAGGTATAATTTCGTCACATTCATTTATAATTGCTATTGTGGATCCACTACCCAGATCATTTAAGATCATCCTACAGGGGCACGTAGTTTGGTACAAGGAAATTGCTTCTAGGGGTCCAACTTCTATTAGCGGGAGAACTTCCATCTCAAAGTCCTCTCAGTGCTAAGTAAATTCCAATAGAAAATACATAATTATATTATCACGATCCAAAGTACACCCTAGACGTGACATGACGTATAAGACCCCGAGAGGCCCTACACAAGTCACTTTACATACATTTCACAAAATAATAGACAAAAGTAAAAAGTCTCGTATTAAGAAAAATAGTTTGACATTTCAAAGCGGAAGTCTAACATAGTCTTGACAAGCTATCTATTACATCAAAAGGAGTGGTCGGGATGTAATCCATACACCACATATTATATTCAAAATATAAAGACATAAGAAAAGCAACAAAGGTGACATGGTCCTCGGAGTATGAGGACTCACCAAGTCTTCAAATCTATAGGTGCTCACTAGCACGAACGGAGGGAGAGGAATCGGCAAGCCCTACATTAGTGAAACAATGTAGGTACAAGTATGCATTAGTACATGAAATATACTAAGTATGAGGGATATGCGTAAAAATGTGAAAAATGATCATAAGAGGACATAATAGAAAACATGAAATGCATGACCAAACTAAACATAGTAAAATCTTTAAAGAAGAATCATAATCATGAACATAGTGCATCTTGACATCATAAAGGAAGCCTCATAAAACATTTGAAAGTAACTTAATTCATTTTTTGGAATATTTTCTTTAACTGATAATAGACCATGCAAACTATACATGGAATCTGAAGTAACTCCCACATCGTAAAATGAGAGTCTACTTGCCAAGGTAGAACCTTGTATTATGTCATACGTTGTATGTGGATCCACTAGCTAGGTCATTTAAGGCAAATCTATGGGGGAACGTAGTTTGGAACTAGAGGTTTCTACTAGAGACTAACATATTTGAGTCTCCACCTCAAGGTTCTCTCGGTGCTAAGTTGAATTCCAACGGAATAGTCATTTTCATAAAGTCATCATCATACTTGGAGAAACACAATTTAATTACTAATCCAAGCTTAAAACATCATATAGTAGCTCATTAAATTATGAATTAAACTTAAGTGAGAAAATATTTCATCAAACCATGATTCCTTAATTAGTAAGAAAATCCTTTCACAACCTCATTGATTCTCATTTTAAAGCAACCTAGATAAAAAAAACCTTGCTTTTCATAAATTGTGCATAAGTTAGTAAAAACGTCATTCATAGATTCATAACTTCCCTTACAAATTCATGAAAAATTAGGATTATCATGATCAATGCATGGGTTCACATAGAATTAATTGAAAAGCATGTAATGAAGTAAAAAACAATCATAATAAGATCAAAATTGAACAATTGAATCAACACCAATTGATCCCACGAAGAATTGAATGAAAACCTTAATCAATTAAATTGAAATTTGACTTGGAGAATTGAGAAACCTTGGGGCTCAATGGGTGAATGGAACCCATTAATGAAGCCCTACATACCTTAAGGATCAAAGCCTAAAATCAATGGCGAAAAGGAGGCTTGAACTTGAACCCTAGCTCCTTCTTTCTTGCTCCTTGATAGAAGATTTTAGGGATTTTTGAGAGAATGATTTGGGAATGGGTAGATTAGGACTAAAAATCAGTTATATGGGATTATTTATAGGCAAAACGGCGTAGTATAGGAATTTGGTGCATATGAAAAGACCAAAACATCCTTTAAAATAAGTGTCAGTCAGTCCTACGATTGCAACCTACTGTCTGTAGGACTTTGTATGAACCGTACTGGTCAACCGTAGACCAAGTACTGGAGCCTAAATCTTCATCAACTTTGACGAGACCTTTTTACAGCCCGTAGGATTTCCTACGGTCCGTAGACCCAAATTGTAGAACTCACTTTAACCCCAAAACTTCACCAAGTTTGGAACCATTCTACGGGACCTTCCTTCGGTCCGTAGAT